GTCAGGGTCACTATTTTCCTGTTTTGTACGCGCAAATGTTTCTTCAGGAAACCCAATGGATATCCCAATTCAATCAAAATATTATGAATGTTTTATAATTCTCTATCAATAGTGTCGACTGAGCATATCTTAAGAGCTCTATTTGCAAGGCATTTGACTAAGTTTCTCTTATAATGAAGAGGCACAAAGCTTAAAAAATGTGTGTATTGGCTTGGAGAAGAACTTTTTCTAAACACACCCCTGCTGATAGAACCATTTTCTTTTCTACTTAACAAAACGTCCAGAAAATTTAGTTTGTTATCTATTTCCTCCTCACATGTAAATTTAATAGCAGGATGTTTGTTATTAAAAAGTTCCAGTAGTTGTTCTTTTTTAATGTTCTGATCGGCAATGATGAAGGTGTCATCAACGTAACGACAGTAGAAATCCAGTTTATTGATAACCTCCTTGAGAGGTCCGTTTTCTAGTTTCGCCAGGAAAAAATCCGCAAGGATGGGACCTAGTGGCGAACCCATCGCTATACCATCAATTTGTCTATAATATGTGTTATTGAAGAGAAAATGGACATTCATTGTGCATTTTAAAAGTAATTCTTTAAGACTAACCCCAGGAATTCCAATATTGATTTGCTTTTCCTGCAGTTGTTGGCACACAAAATCGATAGTCTCTGCTAATGGTACATTGGTGAACAGGGAAGCAACATCTAAAGTTCACAAGACAGATCTTCCTCTTCGCCCAGTTTTAGATATGTATAATTCGCCTTATCATAAAACTGCAAAGTGGCTAGTTCGTATCCTGAACCCCCTACACAAATTAGTCGTCAATAGAAGCGTGAAAGATGTATTCGATTTCATATCTAAAATGGAACATATAAATTTAAATGGGAAACGAATGATATCTTTAGATGATTTTAGACTTTGTTTTTTTAAAGTCATAAAATATATAAGACACGAATTTTGAAATAGATAAAAATAAGGAATTTAAAGTGGCGCCATATAGAATGAAACAGTTTAACATTATCCCTCTTTTTAAAGGTTAATTAAAGAACACATTTGGTGAGACTATAATTTATGGACAAACCAATCAGGTATAAGATAATAGGTCTCCGATTTTGGCGCGAAATTCACTCATCCATTTGGTTAAATAGAGTTTTGATATTATAGTTGATGTCAGTTTATGATGAAAACCATAAATCTAATTCCCTAACCTTAACTATCAACTGTATATCATAATTCGTATTCTTCATGCTGGTTTATAACCCTCATTTAGTCCTAGTTATAAGGTGAACACTCTCAAGGTCAATTCAGTGTCTCTCAATGGTCGTCCATAAATTATGGTCGTACCATACATTCTACTAACAAATAATATAGATAGTGTAATATTAATTAGGTAAATGATATTCATCATTTTAGCTTGAGAAAAGTAACGACTGGAAGATATACATTTTTTATTTATTCTACATAAAGAGTCTCAGTTAAGAATGTACAAGGAATTATACTCTCTAAACTTTTAAACTCAAATGTCAACCGACAGGTATTTCTATAAGCTGATTATTTATGTTTTTTAAGCTGAGTTGGATAATGGATAGCAGTGAAATCCACGACGAGCGTTTCGTCCTATTTGAGACTCGTCAACTGAATGTATCTACATCTCACAGTTGATGTTCACTCTAGGACTCGAATCCAGTACCGTTCGTTCAAACGCCATAGCATTATCCACTTAAGTACTGAGTCCTAATAGCCACTTGCTTGTTCAATGGGTTGAAGTTGAAATTCACTTGGTGTTGTTTGCCTGTATGTTCCATCTTTGCTTAAAAAGCTTGTGATTTAAGGCTATATCGAGGTAATCCGCACAGGATGCACATATGCCAACAAGCGACTGATCAATTGCAGTCTTAAATAACAATGGGAAGATATAAGTAAAACAACACCAAATGAATTTAAGCCTTTTAGTTTAAAATGTTCATAATACTGATTTTATTAACTTTTCTACTCAATGGTTTACGAGGGCTGTGTAAATTGTTACATTTTTGGGCTTTCAGTTTGATTTTGTATTAAGTCATGATTTCATAGTAATCATGTATCCGAAACTATGATCAAATTTCGGTACTGAATAATTACATAAATGACAAAACTATTTTTTATGTTATGAAGCTGATTTTGGGATATTTATTTCATAACTTTAATGGTTAGTAAAGTTTTACTATTTAGTAATTATCCAATGAATGAATACATCTAAATGTGCAGTGCTGAGGAGTCTCATACTGATACAAAACAATTATCTAGTACTCTCAGGTTTTCAATAGTAATCTAACACTGATCGATTCATGATCACAAACTTCTACAGAGAATTGGGCGAGACTATGATTTATGGACGAACCAATCAGATATAAGATAACAAGTCATGAATTTGGGAGCGGAATTCATCCATACATTTGGCTAAATAGAATTTTGGCATTAGATGGTGGTTGGAGGTAGTCGATAGGAAACCCTAGACCAGAATTTCGTGCTACTTGGCACTCATCAGCAAGGTGTACCTGTAATCTTCAGGGAGCTAGTACTTCCCGGCGGATTCGACCTCGTATCACCCAGCTTTACAGTCAGAGAAGTTACCAATGAGCTATCCGAGCCTCGACCGACATCCTGTAGGACTGAGATGTAATCACAATTGATTGATCACTGGGTGGCGATCAATGACCTACAGGAGGCCGGTCGGGGCCCGGATAGCTCAGTGGTAACGTCTCTGACTGTAAAGCTGGGTGATATGAGATCGAACCCGTCAGGGAGCCTCAGCTCAGGTGAATGATTTTGGTGAAGTTTTGTTCTCTGAGCTGGATGGTTAGTAGTTGTTCACCCTCAAGGTCAATTCAACGTCGCTCAAAGGTCGTCCATAAATTATAGTCTCCAACCGAGAATTGATTTTCATTTCTTCTTTCTTATTTTACACTATCTATACAAATAAAACTGGTTCATTTTTGTTGGATTTTAGTGATGCCTTACATAAACGTCAGGTATTATTAGACTTTTAATTGAATTTCTAAAAATAATTTAGGACATTTTGTAAAATTTAGTTACTGGAATGTAAAACCAAAAAAAAAAACCCAAGGTAGTTCTTGTTTGAAATCAATTTCATATACAGTAAACTACTATATGAATTGAATAGAAATGGTAACATAAATTAGGGTATGAAATTGATCTACAATTTGTTATTTTTTTAATGATTCTTTCATTGATTTCATTTCCATTAACATAAAACAAGTTTTGTATAAAATAATAATGAATTGAAATGAACTAATTAGGTGTTAAATATAAAAGAATTATTTATAGGTTAGATAAATATTGGATAATGACTAGCGATGGAATTCAGTTTTGGATGAATGTTTCGTTTTATTTAAGACTCGTCAACTGGATGTACCTGTATCTTAGAGTTGATATTCACTGTAGGACTCGAACCCAATAGAGTTTGCTTCAAACACTATCATATTATGGGTGAACACATACCAAAATGGTTGCAGAAACAAATGAATTCCAATGGTTAAATAAGACCACAGGATAAACAAACATCATCTTCAATTGCGAAACATTTGATTGAGGTTAACGTCAAATCAGTTTTGTAGTGTTATACAAAAGCCTTCAAGGACGTATACTAAGATTTATTGAAGCCTTGGCAATACGGAAATTGAAACCTTCTTTATTTGTTCAAAAACAATTTGTCCTTACACTTAACCTACCGTGGTTGTACTGATTTATTAGTCGAAGTGATAATCATATTTGTTTTTGTCTACTTTAATATTTTTCCTTTGTTATGATTTACCTTAAACCTGTCTAGTTGACCTTTTAATTTTCATATATAAATGTTCTTAACAAGTATATGTGTGATCAGATTGTTCAAAATGTATTGTCAGAAGGGGTTTGTGGAGATTTTAGAAATTTCACAGATTGAAAGCATGAGTCAATCGAAGCTAGACTACTATGGAAAACCTGCAAGCACTGATCGGCTGTTTCGTCGTAGTATGGGACTCCTCAGCTGCTCACATCTACGATCCCGCACGCCACGAGATTCGAACCCAGGACCTATCAATCTCGTGCCTGCGAAATGTATTGCGCAAATATATCACATAAATCTGATAAACTTCGTCTTCTCATTGAATTATCGAAATTTATCAAAGGAACTAATTGTTTTAAATTATCCATTTAGCTAATAACTTCTGATAGTCACCTGCTTGTGTAATCATTTCTAAGACATAATGTTAATGAACGACTGGTTTGAAAAATATATCAGGAGAAATGTGTAAAGAATTTTTCACTGATACGTAACTGGGTGTGAATAATAAACTTAGACTACAACTTCACAGATTGAAATCATGAGTCAGTTGAAGCTAGACCACCATTGAAAACCTGGAAGCACTGGACGGCCGTTTCGTCCTGGTATGGGACTCCTCAGCAGTGCGCATCCACTAATATTATTATCAGTACTGGCATTTGTTTTTCACTTAAATGGTTTAACTACTAACTGAAGTGAATTTAAAGTATAGTTGAAAACTACAATATAGGTGGTACCCTTTATAGTCTGTTTTTCACCTCTTCAAATGTTTAAAACTAAGTAAGATATTTGAACCTAGTTCAGTCACGTCTTATTGTAAGCTTATTGATTTTGATAGAAGACTTCTATCTGAAGTTTGTGTTGATGATAATGTCGTTTAGAAGAACGATGAAAGCTCCACGACTAAACCAACCAACTCAGAGAACAAAACTCCATCAAAATCATCTACCTGAACTACAAATTTACTCCACCTTCTCAAGATCATTGACCCTCCGTGATTTAGTATCTGAATGTTTTTTAAAAAAAATTTCCAATTCTATTTGTTTTTGGTATTCATTTTCGTCACAGAGTCTACTGTGATAACATTTTTGAACCATTTAACGTTCCATTTATTGCTTACATATAAGGATCAGCAGATGATTCAATTGAATATTATTTCAATTCATGTTTCATTTTAGCCTTCAGACTACAAAACCGAAACAAATCTACCTTTAAATATTCAACCAAATAATAAACCAGCTACTGTAAACTCATCTCAATTTACATCTTCATCATCATCATCATCATTATATGATCAACCAACTACACTTATTAAAACATATGGAGATGATTCCGGTGATAAATGGACAGTTTATTATCGTAATCCAAATATTCCTAATGTTCATATTGAATCAATAAATGATAATAATAATAATAATAATAATAAAACAACTCAATTACATAATCATTCTATATCAAATCAATTTAATTTACAACAAACTTCATATAATAAAACACTTTCACAATATTCAAAAGAATCTTCTACACAAATCAATAATCAATTATTAACACCTAATCAAAAAGATGAAATATCACCATTAAAACAAATCAATAAAATAGTAACTATGGGAAATACAATAGATATATCTAAAAAAAAACGTAAAAAATATCGATTTTATTCTATAAAACAAACGGAATATCTTATTGAAGCATTAGAATTATTAACAAATTCTATAGAAAAAAATAATATTAATCTTGAATTAGAATTAAATAATAATGATTTCAATAATAAACAATCATTATTAATGTTACAAAATACCGATATTCATTTACATAGAAATTTATCATTAACAACAAAATTACGTCCAAAAAATTTCAATACAAAATATGGTATTATTAATCGTCATGAATATAAACGTAAATCAGCTGGTTTAAATCATACAGATGAATTGAATCATAATCGAATTGAAAAAGTAAGTCTATATATATACTCATTAAGATTATTTATTTAGATAATAAAGTTAATGTCAGAAGAGTGTTTGTTGTGTGGATATTATAATAGATCACCATCATGGGAAAACCTGAAAGCACTGGATGACCGTTTAGTCTTATTGTGGGACTCCTCAGTGGTAGTGCTTATCCACGATCTTGTTTCGCGAGACCAAGGACTTATCAATTTTACGTGCGAACGCTTAACCTTTAGAATACTGAGCTTGGCTGGTATTCAACGGTGTTAATGTCTAACTTCAACTAATCCACAAAATTGAGCGACATATTCACCATTGTCTTCATTGAGTTACTATCTCATAACAGACCCGGTTGAATTACATTAGTCACTACTTCTCACTAGAACTCCAGGAAATATCTCTTGAAGTCAGTCACTAGTAAGCGTATGTTGATTAATATCAGAAGGGGTTTTGTGGATATTATAGTATTTTTTTTAATAGTTGAGTTCATGAGTCAATTGAATCTAGATGACCATAGAAAAGTTAATGTTTAAAATGTAATATTAGAGATGATAGAGAAGATTTATAGCTCAATTAGATGATTTTGATGAAATTTTGTTGTTTGAGCTGAACGGTTTGGTTGTGGAATTTTTCATTGTTCTTCTGAACGGTATTACAAGCAGGACAAACTTTAGGTAGAACTTCTCCCTGATAGAACGAAATTTCATCAAAAATGTAATATTAGATTAAGAGGAGTAAATTTTTCATTAAAAATAAGATACCATTTTTTAATTTATCATATTCCCTAATTAATGACTGACGTTGACAGGTAATTACTAGAACTGAGATGGTGGAGAAGATTTGTAGCTCAGGTGGAGTGCTGATGTCGTTCAGAAGAACGATGAAAGCTCCACGACCAAACCATCCAGCTCAGAGAACAAAACTCCACCAAAATTACTAGAACTCTTTTGAATTAAAAACTATGATCACCGGAATTCAGTTATGTTGAGCATGAAACAGTTATCTACCAACAACTTTGAAAGGATGTTCAATAATACATTGAGTTCATTGTAGTTAGACATATAAATTATTGAATGGCAACTCAACAGTCTGTAGTTTAATCATTTGTCATTGAGATCTGAGGTTCCTGAGTTCAGTCTTTGACATGATCAGAGAGGGTATTATTGATGATTATCATATACGGAAATAACATTCCCTAATGTTTTTCAACGGTGATTTGGCTAGGAATAATCAATATTGTTAAAAACCATTACGAAGACCTCAAGTAATTTAAATTTACCGTCTTGTTTTACTTCTATATATGTCAAACATTGAATTTTTAAGTGAAAAAATTGTTTGGTTTAAATACAATTTATTTTGATTTTTAACACGAAGAATAATTACTTCCAGTTTAAATCGGTTGTTAAAACTGACCGGCTTATTAGTTAGAAACATAGTCTCAAGATAAATAATTCTCGTTATCAAGAAGCATCAATAATGTTAAAGGATCTAACACCCTCCATGTGACTTTAACTTACATTACCCAGTATCATGAGTGGAGTAATTTTCACTGAGTTACTGCATCTGTCTCTAACCTCTCTGAGCTGGATGGTTTGATCGTGGAGCTTTTATTGTTCTCCTGAGCAACATCATCAGCGCAAACTTCAAATAAAAGTGACGTCATGATGAAAGCTCCACGACCAAACCATCCAGCTCAAACAACAAAACTCCATTAAAATAATCCACCTAAGTTACGAATCTTCTCCACATTTATACTAAATGAAGATAAAATACCCAAGGTCATACTTATAAACCCCTAAGTATTGGCCGAACTTCATCAGTTGACATGGCTAGAACACGTGTTACGTATGCCCAACCACCGACTGCAACGACGTGCGATGTTTCATGGTGTACGAGTAGGTTGGAAGAAAACTAGGAGCGGCCAAATCAAAACGTAGCACAAATCCATGAAGTCACTGACAAGTGCACTGTGTGAATCATGTTGGTATGTGTTGACTACCTGGTTGAGATCTGTGAGATGACAGCAACCGATGATTAGAGACCTTGAATGACATGGCTCAAAATCATTTCCGATGGCTCAGGTGCATCCACTCTTTGTGTTCTCCCGAATTTGAATCTTCTGAATTCTTCATGTCTCTTTCTTCTTTTTTCTCTTTTCAAATTTATTTCATTGTATTATACTTTTTGAATAATATCTTCAAACTCTAATGTTTCTGATTACTGCTTATACTTTCACTATCTCTATCACTATGGGATTTGAATCGAAAATTGTATGTGTGTGCTAATGTGGTATGGTAACTCGAACTGATGTACTGACTGACTTACTGACTGTTTAAAATACCCTGAGTTACAAAATCATTGTGTTGCACTGCACAATTCATAGATTTATACATCTTAATTTTAGTAGACTGAATAATTTCACAAGAATATTAAATACTACTTACTTGCAGAAAAGATGTTCAGGCTTTTTTCAAACTACTAACAAATTCAAAATGCAACATAAATCTTGTAGGCGGTGTTGTACAAACTGTTTATACAATCCAAAGAAGATTTTCACTCAGAACGTGTACCAGTTTAACAATTGTTTGAAAAGAAATGATAACTCGATTTCTTTGATCTATTTTGAACTGGATAAAAAGTGCTTATTTAAGTTTCCGTAAAGGTTCATAATGAAAACTTTACTAAGCATCGGGTATATTTTAGGATAACTAATAAGGAAATTCTTATGCTGAAAAATATGGTAAAAGTTTTGATGGAATTTTGTTCACTGAGCTGTATGGTTTGGTCGTGTTCTGACGTGAGTGTCCTTTGTAGCGTCATCATTTGGTCCTCTATGACGTGTTGGTATTTACGGGTCCTGTAGTGTGCATCCGTTATCATTAGGTGCACCATTTTTCTTTCACTTTTCTCAGCTATTTTCGATTATAATAGGCAGTTGATTGGAGGTATATATCTTACACTTGTTGGTAGAACATGCTGGCGAAGACACTCATGGAGAAAATATAAATGTTCTTCAGTGGAAGCCTGCCTTTTGGAGAAATTCTCACATTTTCGAACAACGAGAAGCGTATTACGCTCATACGATAAGAGTTTTAATTTCATATTATTGATATTTATTGCTGCGTAACATGTCATGGTATTGTAAAATTATGGTATTTTGAAGATTCCTGATTATATGAGTTAGATGGATTATTATTATTGTCACATTTTGACTGTACGAAATATTTCAATAATATGCTAGTGAGAAAAATACGATGTCACAATTTAGTTGCCATGTCTTTAACACTTCTAGATTACGATCTTCAATTTAAACACTGGTCTACTGAAATTCAGGTAAAGGAAAACTATAAGTCTTAAATTTCATGGAACAAAGATACTAAGTTCAGATAAAAGTAAAAACCATAGAGGAGATCATTTCTAAACTGAAAAAATATAACATTAATAACTACATCAATTATTTTTGCTTCCTTACGCCTGTAACTTCCAATGGAGCATATGCCACTGACCGGCATACTCCAACCCACTCTGTCATAGACCTTCCTTTCTAGTTATATCCAATTGTTGTTCATTGTTTTCATGTCTGTCTCCATTTATCAACTTAATGTTTTCTTTCGTCTTCCTCTTCTCCTTTGGCCTTGAGGATTCCGAGTGAGGGCTTGCCTCTATGTGTCCGATTCACTTCCAGCAGTTCCTAATGATTTCTTCCTCCACTGGAATATGGTTTGTTCTCCCACAGTAGGTTGTTGCTGAAAGTATCTGGTCAACGAATCGGAAGTATTTTGAGTAGACAACTGTTAATAAACACTTGTGTCGTCTGGATGATGGTTTTCGTAGTTCTCCAAGTTACCGCTTCATACAGTAGAACTGTGTTGATATATGTATTGAAAATTCTGACCTTGGTGTTGGTTGACAGTTGTTTTGAGTTGCGGATATTCTTGAATTATAGATATGCTGCTCTCGCTTTGCCGATTCACGCCTTTACATCTGCATCAGATCCACCATGTCCATCAATGATGCAGCCCAAATATGTAAAAGTTTTTACATCCTCCAAAGCTTATCCGTCAATTGTGATTGGATTGGTGCATGCTGTGTTGTGTCGGAGAATCTTGCTTTTCCCTTTGTGTATATTGTGACCTACTGTTGCTGTGGCTACTGCTGCACTGGTCGTCTTCGCCTGCATTTGTTGTTACGTGTGCAGTAGAAGATTGTTTTTGCTATTCTCGAATTAAATTCACCCTACAGTTTTATATTACACCTGATGTTTTTTTTCACAAAGTTTCTAAAAGTCTACCTTACAGTAAATCAAAATGGCTTGTTTTTTAGTGGCCCGGGATATGACTCTAATTAGATCATATGTTAATTTCTATTGAATGATTACTATTAAAATTTGCATGTCGCCTATCCTTGTATATTATAATCGAATTAACTCGCGTTAGTGAATAGCAGAATTAAAATAAGTCAAATACGAGAAAGGATTTCGAAAACGTATTTTTTGTACAATCATTGATCTAGACAGACAATCAGACGAACGAAGCGAATAGAAGAGAGCGAAACAAAATAACACGCGGTGGCGAAGGCGTGTTAGACAACTGCATTTAGTCAAGCGTTAGTCAATATTTATAGTCACATACACATGCGCTTATATAAGAACAGTTAAGGTTGATAAGTGAATAATGAATAAACTGGCCTGTCCAGAAGCTAGAATAAGTTATGTGGGCTCTTGGCATAGTAACCGAAACTACTACACATATTAAATGTACATTTTGTTAATTTAATTTGGAAAAAGCCGACTATACACAACATGTAAAGAAATGAAATATTATACACAAAGTACATTTCATAAGTTTTCCACCTTCAATATTCAATTAAGAAATTCTTGGAATGAAATTCGCATGTTATGAACAAACTCATTTAAATACATGACAACAGCTTAGAAGAAAAGAAGTAAATTACTAAACAGTACTTAGTGATCACTTTATAGAAAGTCCAAATTACTATATGATAAT